GAAGAACATGACAGGCAGAGGAGGAGGGAGAGGGAGGTTGGGTGGGACAACAGGTTCATAACCGGGCTTCTTAACCAAAGCAGAGCTGGGAGAGATTTCTGAGACGTCATCCTGACCGTGACAGGACAGTCAGAGAGTTCACAAACGGCCTCCTTGGCCGTGGCTGGACAGACAGAGAGTTCATAAACAGCCTCCTTGGCCATGACTTGACAGGCAGAGAGTTCACAGATGGCCTCCTTGGCCGTGACTGGACAGACAGAGAGTTCATAAACAGCCTCCTTGGCCGTGACTGGACAGACAGAAAGTTCATAAATAGCCTCCTTGTCCGTGACTGGACAGGCAGAGAGTTCACAGATGGCCTCCTTGGCTGTGACAGGACAGGCTAAGAGTTCAAAGGCAGACACCGCTGCCTCGGGAGGTTCTGCAGCACAAGCCAACACCTCGAGAAGGGCTGAAGCGGGCTCCGCCGCATCGGGAGGTTCAGCAGCGACTGCTGCCACCTCTGGAGGTTCTCCACCTCTGGAGGTTCTGCAGCAGAAGTTGCCACTTCTGGGGGAGCTGGACTGGACTCGGGGACCAGAGTAAGCTCGGGAGTGGATTCGGGGACAGGAACATACTCGGGAATGGATTCGGAGACTAGAGCAGACTCTTGATCAGACTCATAGGCCGGAGCGGACTCATGGACTGGAGCGGGCTCAGGAGAAGTAATTGAGCAGTGAGTAGCCCAAACGCACAGGATAGCGACCCCCATTACAGGGAGCACTGAGTTTAGAGGAATAGTTTCTGGGCTGGCGGTCATTTTATAATAAGTCTTTGGGATAGTAGCCATTTTGCAAAGAGTCTCTGTGTTGGCAGCCATTTTATGATTAGTCTCTGGGTTGGCGGCCATTTTGTGACAAGGCTCAGGAGTGGAGCTTACTACAGGAGAATCGTTCTCCTCCTCTGCGATTCCCACGGTAAAAGGAGAGCCACTCAGCTGTAATGCTACGTCAATATAATACTCCAGTGTCCAGTTAGGGTCATGCAGTGGCATGATTGAACTGAGAGGTTCAGATAGGCCCCCTCGAAAAAAAAGTATCATCAAGCAGATTTCATCTAAATGAGTCACGTGTGCCAGTTCAAGATAATCCACAACATAGTCCTCAATGGAACTTGTACCTTGGCGGAGAAACATCATCTTCACTGCTGGATCCATTATTGGCGAAGTCTTCTGTTACGGAACTGCTCTGAGACTGAGTGAGGATCCAAATGCAGTGTTTATTAGCAAAGTTCAGAATCGAAATCAGACAGCAGGCAAGGGTCAACACACAGGCAATCAGTCCGACTAAACAACAAGGCAGAGAACACAGGCAAAAGGGTAATCCAGAACGCAGGCTAAGAGTCCAAAAACCAAGATACATATAAACAGGAGAAACGCTCAGAGATGCAGTGTAACGCTTACAATACTTTGCAAATTATGACAAACTAACCCAGACTTATATAGGGTGAGCAGACAGGGTAAATGAGACACAGGTGCAAATAGTGAGTGTTGATGAGTCCGGGCAAAGGATTATGGGAAATGAAGTCTTTGATGGAGTGGTAGAAGTCTGGGATGGAGTGCCCTCTAGCGAAGCTCACGGGCACTCCAGCTAGAGATTGTGACAGTTATCACCAGTAATATATGGAGTGCCACAAGGATCTGTCCTAGGTCCTCTGCTATTTTCAATATACATGTTGCCCCTTGGTAATATTATTAGAAAATACGGGATTAGTTTCCACTGTTATGCTGATGATATTTGTTTCTCTGTTTTTGCCACGGAAGCTTCAGTCTGGATCCAGAACACCTGAGAAGAGATGATGCCAACCCCTCAGAGGACCTCAGATGATGCCAACCCTGAAACATACAGAACTACCAAATTTTGCTATAAATTTGATTGCATCATAAAATAATTGCTGTTAAGTGTTCATCGTCTGTTTGATTACGTCTTTAATTGATTTTTCCGTACATTTCTGCGATATGTACATAAACTGACAGTCACCACTGATAAGCTACTACTAAATATTGTAGAAACTTAATTTTCTGTAAAGTTGCTTTGCAACGATTTGTATCGTAAAAAGCGCTATACAAATACACTTAAATTGAATTGAATTGAATATTAACACAATTAGCATAGATTCTACCATATATCCATTGA